AGAGAAAGTCTTGTAATCGTGCAAAAAAAAAATCGAGATTTTTACAAATCTCGACGTTTCACACCTCACTGATACGGAAAAACATAATTTTGCAATCTTGTCCGTATGTCTGTGTGTCTGTCTGTGTGTCTGTCTGTGTGTCTGTCTGTCCGTGTGTAAACACGATAACTTGAGTACCGTTACAGCTAGGTTGATGAAATTTCATATATAAGTATTTAATCAAAATCGTAGATCCGTATCAACTTTTGAGCGATTTCCGATAACCGGAAGTGGCACTTTTCCTACTTTGAATTTTTCAAAAGCCTATAACTTGAGTACTATTTCAGATAGATAAATGAAATTTCATATGTAAGTAAAAGATCTAATTCTCTACCTTCTATTAAATTTTGAGTCATTTCCGTTTACTGGAAGTAGTACTTTACGCTACTTCCGATTTCTCAAAAAACTAATGTAAATTTTAAAAGTAATAATAATATTGCGCACTATTATGCGCTTTTTTATTTCGCGTTCACTTGGTGTGCAATTAATTTGTCTACGAGATTTTATTCTATTTTTAAAACTTTAAGTATTTAAAATGGATTAAAAATCATGTCTATAGCCCGAGTTCCCATCCCCTGTTATTTTATATAAGAATATTCGAGAAAGTTTAGGGGAGATCACTCCCGGTTTATTTTTACATCTGACTCTTTGACCCTTTTCCTGTTAGTTACCCTGTGACCTTGGCCTAGTTACCCACTACACTGACACAGTTACCCCGACCCAGTTACCCATTACCTTGTGACCTTGACAGTTATTATGTTACCATAAAACAGGTACAATTTTACTCCGGCCAGGCATTTTAATAAACTTAGAGGTCAATTTTGTTCATTGCCTGAACATTTTTTTTTCTGTTGGATTGGTGGTCTACCCAAGAACCACTGGTACACCCCCCCCTCCACACAAGAACCACTGATACACCACCATACAATTTGATAACCACTATTACATCACAACTCCACATGAGAACCACTGGTTTATCACCACACCACATAATAACCACCATTATACCACCACTCCATATATAGAACCACCATTATTATACTTCCATTCCATATAAGAACCACTATTATACCACCACTCCACGTTTAGCGTGAGCAAACAGATGTTGCAGCAATTGACATTCAACTCACCCTTTAGTCATGTTGGTGTCTGCTTTATGGTCTGATAGCTTCATTTCCATGGTCTACAACAGAGCCATATTAAAAGCATAGTCTGCAGGTATTTATCTTAATCCTAATCTTGCCCCTAATCTTTTGCTGCTAACCTTTTTCCCTTAACCTTTTGTCTCCCACTCCTGCCTGTTGTCCCTATCCTTGCCCCTACCCTCTTGGCTATAAACCATGATCTAACCTTGTCCCTAACCTTCTCCCTAACCTTGCCCTAAATCTATATGGGTAAATAATCGAATGCAACACACTAATGAATCTGACCAAATGGTAAGTGTGTGCAGTCAAGCACGACGCTGAAGTCAGTGTTGTCAGTTAACATCCAATCACCGGGAACCATGACTCAACCAATAGCTATCAATCATCACTAAAGAAGATATCCCCCAAACAAGTTTCTAACACGTCAGCCTCTGTCAACTTTTGTTTCGTGCAGTCAACAGTCTCGCCCCATGACTTAAGTCAACAGTAGCAAGTCTCGAGACGTGACTTAAATCAACAGTAGCAAATCTTGCCGTGTCCCGCAAAGTCTCGCGAAATGCCAGAACTTGAAAGTTGGTCCACATGGGTCAAGTTTTGTTTGCAGACTAGTCACGTGACAGGGGAGGAAACAGACTGTCTGATTCTTGAAAGTTAAAACACGCAGAGTTCACTAAGGGCAGAGTTTCTTCCAGGCAAAGCCCCCCGAAAAAATTTTACCGCCCCCCCCCCCCCCCGAACGAAATGAAATTTACATAATTTATATAGAAAATATATACTTTTAACAGTGTCCGCCCCCCCCCCCCCCCCCGAAAATTTCAAGTGTCCCCCCCCCCCCCGGAGAAAAAAGTCTGGAAGAAACACTGACTGAGGGACATAGCGACGCCAGACAGTCGATAAAATGAAAGAAAAACATAAAACGAATTCATTCAAAAATGGGAAATATAATTTTCATGCCATTCGAAGTACTCTAAACAGTCGTTTAATTTTTAGTTTTGTTTTATTCGCAAGCTGTATAGGGGCATATGTATTGACCTTAATGTATCTAAGACCTAACTATGTGTTAATTATAAAGTGGTCAGTTAGACTATCAGGGCTTTAGATTTATAGCCCAAAACCAACCTGGTAATTTCCAAAAACATATTGAATTTTTTTTCCCTTTGTTAATAGCCCCATGATACGTTCTTCAAATTGCTTTTGAAAAACAATGACATCAAGAAAGATAACCATGTATATTTTATAAAAACAAAATTATTCTTTATTACTTCCCTTCTAATCGATCTTTTTTTACTTTCTCGTATATACGAAGTATAGAGAAAGTATTGTAATCGTGCACAAAAATCACTTGAAATTTTAACAATTTTCACCGTATTACACCTCAGTCCTTCATCACATCCGAAGTATAGAGGACTTATTTTAATCGGGCAAAAATTATCAATCCAGATTTATCAAAATTAAGAGGTTTTATGCGTAATCCAGTCTGAAAAACTGGGCTTTGCAATTCTGTCCGTATGTCTGTGTGTCTGTGTGTCTGTCCGTGTGTAAACACGATTACTTGAGTACCGTTATAGCTAGGTTGATGAAATTTCATATATAAGTATTTTATCAAAATCGTAGATCCGTATCAACTTTTGAGCGATTTCCGATAGCCGGAAGTGGTACTTTTCCTACTTTGAATTTTTCAAAAGCCTATAACTTGAGTACTATTTCAGATAGATAAATGAAATTTCACATGTAAGTAAAAGATCTAATTCTCTACCTTCTGTTAAATTTTGAGTAATTTCCGTTGACCGGAAGTAGTAATTTACGCTACTTCCGATTTCTCAAAAAACTAATGTAAATTTTTAAAGTACTAATAATATTGCGCGCTATTGTGCACTTTTTTATTTGGCGTTCACTAGTTCACTTGGCGTGCAATTATTTTGTCTACGAGATTTTATTCTATTTTTAAAACTTTAAGTATTTAAAATGTATTAAAAATCATGTCAATAGCCCGAGTTCCCATCCCCTGTTGTTTTATATAAGAATATTCGAGAAAGTTTAGGGGAGCTCACTCCCGGTTTATTTAAAAATATACTCCGTCGTGGTAATATGTGTAGCCTACTGCGCTAGAGTGTGTTGATGGTTCTGTGTAAATTACAAGCTGTCCCAAACAAAACTCGGGTCACCTACAGTTGAGTCAACTCGGGAAACCTCGGACAACTTGTGTTGTTGGAGTTAGGTTACCGATGTGGAAATGTGCGACTAGATATTAATTTAGGATTAACTAATTAACTCAACAGTGTCTAATTATATCCCCCTCCCTCCACCCCTCCCCTCGGGATTGTACGTACAAGGGTGGTCTACCTGGATTAGTATAGGAGAAAAACATTTTTTATTCGTCTAACAGTTTTGACCAGTGATTCTCAAACTAATTGGTGTAAATTGGACACTAATAGGTATATTTTTCAGGGAATGTCACTCTAGTTTATAGCCACTTAGACCTATCTTATTAATCACAATAATGGTATCAGTTACTTTATACTTTATAAGCTAATTTTACTAAGACGTAATTTATTATACGAGCTGACCCGCGTCGTAAGCATACGCCGCTATTTAGATGTTTTATTTTCTACTTTTCAGTAGCTCATAATGTGCGCATTCGACACTACCAATGCTGCCACTGAAAAAAATAATTTTAAAACACTATCGGTAGCTCGAGAAGGACGATTATCCTCACCCTCCTTCCATCCTGTTTTAAGGGTCAGGGCTCAGGGTTGAGACCCAAAGAATCCGTTAGACCCATCTGCTATATGGGTCGGGGCTCTGTTTTAAGGGTCGGGTCTCAGGGTTGAGACCCAAAGAATCCGTTAGACCCATCTGTTATATGGGTCAGGGCTCTGTTTTAAGGGTCGGGGCTCTGGGTTGAGATCCAAAGAATCCGTTAGACCCATCTGTTATATGGGTCGGGTCTCTGTTTTAAGGGTCGGGGCTCTGGGTTGAGACCCAAAATTCCATGTTCGACCCATCTGTTATATGGGTCGGGTCTCTGTTTTAAGGTTCGGGGCTCAGGGTTGAGACCCACCGAAGCCACGTGAGATCCATCTGTTACAATTGATTCAAACCGTTCCGGCTAATCCTTTCTTTGCAAATCCCTTAAGCTCATCGATTAACTTCCAGCGTTTACTGGCCACAGTGGTGGTGGTGGTAGTTGGGGTGGGGGGGGGTTGTCATAGTCCAGCGAGTGGACGAGATAAAGCACTCCACCCCCCCCCCCCCCCCCCCAGAGATCTACCAATGACCATCAGGTCTGAACTTTGCCCCCCCCCCCCCCCTTACCCACACTCCGTAAATATCAAATAATAAACAGCGTGTATGTTTATGAGGAGACCAGATAACTTATCACTAGTGGCGTCACTTAGTTTTTAGTTTTGTTGTTTTATGTGTGGCACGTGTAGACATGGTCCAGTGTGCCGCAAGACATTTTTAAAAATTTAATAAACGTGTGACAAATATGTGACACACGTGTTAAACTTGTGATAAATATGGGACAATTGGGATTGACATTAGGGACTTTGTAAAATTTATGTTTGTTATGTCCTGCTGTTCCCACTCGGATTCGAACCGCACCAACACAACTGTGATGCCGACTGCCGCGGGGCAGCCACAACTGTGACTACATAAACAATTTTACAACGACCGTCTATTTGGTCGAGTGTCTATAACTATTGTTGAGAGGGAAAAATGTATTTTACACTACGCTTGTTGGAACATGCTAGGAAAAGGCGGTGGGGTGGGTGAGTAGGAGGGGGATTAAGGACCAGCTGTCATTTTAGTTCGCCCCAGCTTCTCAAGTCTGCTGTAACAGTTATAGGTGTGAAATGTGCAGACGATGGAAACAATGTAAAAACATTTTCACTTTTATTTTGTTTGGAATGTGCTCGTGATTCGGACTTGAAAATGAGGTTTCGTTTGTTGTCTAAACGCCGTTTTTTACTACTGGTTGGCGTGCTGGTGCTGTATTTACTGAGTGTTTTATTGGTGCTTCACCGGACCGTCACATTTATGGAACACTCAAAGGTATTAAACGTTTTTTATTCTTTAAAATTAACCTGCGCAGTTCCCAAACCTACGGTAGGCAAACACAACCCGTGGGCAGTGGTTCTTAATCTGGGTTCAATTGAACCGGGCGTGTTTTGGGGCTAGATATCAAATAGTGAATGATGTCCGGTTAATTAGTTATGACATCATAAGGACACTTGTAGCGCCCCAACGGTCCTTCAAAACTAGAGTAGGGCCTACAGATTATTAGATCATAGGCCTGAGATACATCAGGTAAATATCAAAGAGGTTCAAACAGCATCTGCTGACCTACTTCTGATCTACTCAGTGGTTCAGTTCTACGCCTACGTCTAATTGAGCAGATTTGTATGCACTGTTTATTTTTATCTAACGAAAAGAAAATATTTTTGACATTGTAAATATACATTCAGTAATCCCCCAGTAGTACCTCACAAAATCAAATGCTCACTCAGACAGGGAATTAGTCCCAGCTGGTCGCACCTGCTTGTTACCCCCCCCCCCCTTCCCTCATAACCTGTATACACCATTTTAACTCCCCCCTCCCACTATATTTCCACAGATGATTGAACAGGAGACAGCATTGCTCCCTGTTTTAGTGACGTCACTACGTCAAGATGTAGATAACTTCAGTCACGTGATATTGGGCAGTACGTCCTTGAACCTGACATTCGATAATGATTTAGATCAAATCAGACCTCCGCTCCAGTTCTACAACAACACAGAGATCCAAGATGGCGGCCAACAGACGTGGGAGAAAGTGGACTGGAACGATTACGATTTGATGGCCAGAGAGGCCACGCGTCAGGGCCCGGGAGAGCACGGCCAGGGCTTCCCCACCTCACGGCTCCAAGAGCCGGAGAAGAAGCTGTGCGAAGAGCTGCGGGCCAAGTACAAGTTTAACGCCTTCGCCAGTGACCGGATCGCATTTGACCGGTCGATTGGCGACATCCGGACAGACGTCTGCAAGAAAAAACTCTTCATCAAAAACATCCCAGAAAACTCCGTCAGCATCATATCCATCTTCTACAACGAGAAGAACTCCACGCTGATTCGAACCATTCACAGTTTGGTCAACCGGTCACCTAAGAAGCTTCTCCGGGAGATCATTCTTGTGGACGACTGTAGCTCAGACGAGGAGTTAAAGGCACCATTGGACGCCTACCTGCAGACAAACTTCCCGGCTGTTCGACTCATCAGGAACAAGGACAGGATTGGCCTCATTAAAAGCAGGATCGTTGGGGCAGACGCTTCCACCGGAAGTTTCCTACTCTTCTTAGACGCCCACACGGAAGTCAACTACAACTACCTGCCTGCTATGCTGGAGCCAATCGTCATGGACTACCGAACTGTCGTCTGCCCAATGATAGATATCATCTCGGATGAGAACCACATGATCCGGCCTCTAATAGAGAGGGAGAGGGGGGCGTTTGACTGGAGCATGTCCTACCAGCGCCTGCCGGTGTTCCAGGAGGACCAGAGTGAGCCCCACCCCGTCCCCACCATGGTGGGCTGTGCCATGGCCATTAGCAGACAGTGGTGGGAGGAGCTAGGCAAGTACGACTCAGGGCTGGACATCTGGGGCGGGGAGCAGTACGAGATCTCCTTCAAGTCGTGGCAGTGTGGGGGTAAGGTCGTGGACGCGCCCTGCTCCCGGGTGGCGCACCTCTTCCGTAAACTTCCCTACGCGTCGTTGCTGATGGATAAAAAAATTGACGACAGGAACCTGCTGCGCGTTGCCTCGGTATGGATGGATGAGTACAAGGAGTACCTGGTGCAGCGGCGGCCCGTCATGAAGACCATTGACCCTGGGGATCTGACGGAACAACGGGCCGTCAGGGAGCGACTCAAGTGCAAGTCTTTTGACTGGTACATGCACGAGGTGGCGCCTGATATCCTGCACTTCTTCCCGCCAATTGACCCACCCATCATGGCGTCTGGTCGTCTGATGAGCAAACACAACAGCGACCTCTGTGTCGTCACTAAAACCCAAGGATTTAATCTAGATCTGTGCAACAAAAGTGTTGCCGGGCGATACGAATACGACTGGCGATTACATATCCGGACCTACGGACAGTGTTTCGCCAATCCGGGAGGCCGTTACATCTTCATGTACACATGTCTGGTGTTCGAGCACCGACTGACGCAGGGGTTCGTCTGGAACCAAACATCCGGTAAAATCGTCAACGTCTTCACACACAGCTGCATAGACTACGACCCCGCTACACTTGATCTACTGATGGCGCCGTGTAACGCTAGCTCCCCCACTCAGAGCTGGACGTTTGACCACTTCAACGCTACTCTAGTGGACAATACCTGGGAGGCGAACAAAGCCTCCCTCGGACTCAATGCCACCAATGTATAAGTCCCCGACCGAATCTTTCATCAGGGATTTGTTTGCGTGAGTGTCCTGTTGCCACTACCGATAGTAGGCCTACTTAGGGAGAGTTCACCGAAATCGGAAATGTTCATACCGGAAGTAGCCAACTTATGGAAGGCTGTCTTTATGGTGATTCATGTGTGGGGAATAATGAATGCTGTCAGGATAATCGTGTTGTGAGGGTAGGAATGTTGTGTATGTAGAGATGTGACTGAGGGTAGGAATGTTGTGTGTAGGGCTATTGTGAGGCTCAGATTTTATGATGATAAGGGCACATTAGTGCTATAACTGAATCCTTGTGTGTTAGGTTTGCTAAAAATCTGTATACTTTACTGAAGCTATTTTTGTATTAAATGTAGCAAATGAAGTATAGTTTTTATATAAGAGTCTCCAGAAATTGCTGAAGTAAATGATTTGACTATGAATGTATGATGACCTTAACAAAGAATGTTGTATTCAGTTGTCTTAATATGTTAGGCCTGGCCTAATTTGAACTGCTGCAACAGCGTAAAAATGATCACATTTTGCAGTTAATGTTTTTTTCTTCTTAAATTAACATATTGTTAATTAAGTCAGGAACTCAATCTAAAAAAATAAAGAAGTGCATAGTATTAGCTAAATACCCCCATCCATTGGACAAGTCTGGCCTAAAAAAAAAACGCCGTGGACCTGCCAACCCCATCAAGAGACATATAGACTATAGACAAGTCTAAAATAACATCAATGACAGCAAAGAGAAAGAGTACAAATATTTCTGGTCCAAACTTGACCCATTTTCTTCTATACATTCTACAGCCAGTTATAAACCAAACAAAGCCATTGCTAGTATGTTAAACAAATTGTATTGATCAATTCTTGGGCCACAACAAACTTCACTGTATCATCTGGACGTCTTCCAACAAAGAGTAGGAACAAAATAATTCCTAATTAAAAATATTTGTAAGAAATTAAAAAAAAATTTAAAACCCAGTCAAGGGTAATGTTAATTTTTTTTAAACACGAGATCAAAGCTAAAAAATGATTTTCTCTTTCTATCCAACCAGTCAAGGTAAGTAACAAGCTCATCATAAGACATCGCAACAGAAACTCCTTACAACATTGCCAGCAGTCATCATCAACATTTTACTTTTTGACTTTCAGAGTTGGTAACAAAATTCTCCATTTCTAGATGAGTTGCTCAGTTGTACATTCAAACCACGACCTCACTGAGGGCAAAGCATGTCTACATCACGCTAACAAGCAGGAAAAATCCAAACGCAATCACAGTAAACATTGATAGATGGAAGAAATACATTGGAAAATTCACCGTACAAAATACATAAAAATCATTCACAAGAAAAATTCAAGTGGTACAACAGGGTTCCTTATCTATTTAATCTGATGTTTCAACTGAACAACGTTGAGTCATCCTCTTTAGACAAGCAAAGCAGTCAAAACCTCAGCCAAAATATTTACAACCATTGACTTTTGCACTAATTCAGACGGAGCAAATTTACGACTGGAATATCTGATTTGAACATAACATCCTAAAATAACAAAGATCAGCTGCTATCCATAGTTCATCATATCTGTTGTAGGACTGTTGCTAGGGGCCTTCAAGGAGTCGTTAATGTCTCGTCTAAATACCGAAAGATTTTGTGTAAACCTGAAAAAAAAAATGATTGATTTAAAAACTAGCCCTACTGCTGAATATTCACTTAAGTACCTTTCCAGATCTGACAGTCAGATGAAGCACAGATAATCTGTTTCTTATTTTAGCATATAAGGGATTGTGTGGTCAGCATTATGAACAGCTTTATTTTCTTTCCCCAACTAAAGTCAGGTACCCATCAGAGAATGGCAGATTTGGGGACATCCAATAAGGTTGAATATAGGCCCTACTGATTAGTTAATTTTACAGACATACTAATGGTTTTCTGCCCTCAGATATAGAGTTTAGTTTTAATACCAAGTGCAAGATATAAATTTAGTTAACTGTACTAGTTATACTACTAACATGTCCAAGAATTAAATGTACTCAATATGATCTGATATAAATACCAAATTACTAGTGTTGGCTCACCTGTCTCTATTTTTAGCTAAAAGTGATCTCTCCACGCCATCCATCAGATTCTGGAAACAATTTGCCATTGTTTCCTGTTTCTCTGCTGGCTGGCTTGTTATAATATTGTTTCTAAGTTTGTTGAAGTACTAGACATTCAGACAATTTGTAAAGTTAGTTCAAGAAAAGGGGATGATAAATAATAAAATGAAAAAAGTTGCTATCACAGTAATGAAAAATTGTTTCTAAAAATAAAAAGGTGAGTCTGCAAAATGAGATTTAATAATGAAACAGACTTTTTATCAGGTGTATATATTTATACATTAAGAAACATTATTTCCCTAATAAGATATGACATACACAATATAAATTAAAGAAAATTCATGTTTTTTGTAAAATCATGAAAATAATTTAAATGAGATATGTATAAAAAATGTACCTCTTCATTAAGAAGTATTAACCCCAATAGGGGCCGCGACATGGACCATTGATTTCTGCAATCTTCAAACATTATTATATTTAATACTGTTGACAGCATCTGCAAAACAAACAGGACACAAGTTATTTAAAATTTATCATTTAATTTTGATGGCATAATAATATATCTTAATTCTATACAGCCACAAAACAATACACTTAGGTAGACCATATCCTACTCTTGTAAAAAAAATTGTTTCATCCACACAAAAAAAAACATTATTGATGACTTAAAAAAAATCTGTGGTATATTCTATTTTACATATGGCAATAAAAAGTTCATACCCTGCCTACAAATGATTTTATCTATACTATTTACTAGATCACCAATACATTAAATAGTTGATTCTCCACTATTACATGACTACATGTATAGACTTGAGTTAATCTTTGGACAGTTTACCTGTTGCAGGATCTCAGGGTGGACTTCTAATATGCAGAGGAATGCTTCACTGTCTGGCACTTGGTTGGGGGTCTGTTTCTTTTTGTTGATGAGGCGGCGGAACAGGTAGGTGATGATGTTGTCAAGAGTGGCACAACATCCTGTACACACCATGGTATCTGGGGACAGAAAAGGTAAGTGATGATGTCAAGTGTGACACAATGTCCCACACACACCATGGTATCTGTGGAAATGCAGCAAAATATCTACCATAAAAAAATATTATTATTTTAAATGCACAGTAATCTTCCATTAGAGAGATGTTATTATGCTGGAGTTTAAAAAAAAAACATATTTGATCACTGACTTACCTAATGCTGTAAGCCCCTCACTGATTGATGACAACAAATAAAGAAACACTGGTGGTTCTAAGTTACTAATAAATGACATGTGATCTTGTGCTAGACATTCCAACAGCCCGTAGTAGTTCTGGCTAAGTTTTGGGTAGTCCTTGGAAATAAAACAAAACATTATAGGTAAGAGATTTGACAGGGAAAATCTTAATACACACCAACTTCTAGGAAAGTTTACCCTAGCAAGCATATCTATTTAAACCAGGGCAGAATAAAAAATATTAAAAATTAGTGACAGCTAAAATACTGACTTCTTGCCAAAAAAAAAAAAAAAAATCAAAGGCAGAGTTAGATTCAAGTAAACAGAGATATTTCACCAACAAATCACTTTGTAATCCACAGAATTTAATATTTAATAAATATATATCTTACCAACAAATCACTTTGTGGGACAGACAGCAGCAGCTTAACAAACATAGACAACACATCATCCAGAGCGCTGTCTCCATACAAGCGGAAAACACCAAAGTTGACATAGTTGCCACACAATGCTGCCTTCAGCATGGAGAAACATATAGAGATTCCCTTTAACTTAGCATTGGTTAAGGCCTCATTTAGTCCACAGATGGCACAATAAAGTCAGCTAACTAGTTACCACATACCACCAAACCTTATTAAAACATTTTTTAAAAATGGTATTTTGGAGCAATGTTTACATTTCATATTCGACTGACATGATTTCTTTATGCCTAATTTCTGAAACATTAAAATTTAATTAAGAAGAAATAACTGAAAAGGATATTTCATGGGGTAGATTCTGTCTTTTGGAATGTCACCAATTGTAAGGATCCTAGAGCCTGGAAAAACATGAAACAAAACAATTGCCTCATTAGCTAGAAAGAATTCTTTAAAAAATCTACTGCAGATATCACCTAGCTAAAATAATATAAAAACTGAATAATGATTACAATCTTACCGTAACAAACAACCATTTTGCTAATTTCCCTGAACAATAAAATTCCATTTGGAGATGACACATCAAATTGGAGACGTTGAGACCTGTAAATTAAAAATTTTCAGAAGGTTATTAACAATGTTTTCTTTATCAGTTTCTGGTACTCTTATTTAACCCTTTTGGGATGAAAAAACTGAGACGTGTCAAGTCATACAATATTTCATTTGAAAATAAGTTCACTTAATTGGAACCCATATTATGAAATCTTAAACATAGTAAAAAAGTGTCATCAAAATATACATTTTATATGTATAGCCAAGAAAATCTAAAAATAGCAACGCTGTCATTTTCTAAGGTGTAATTTGTGTGTACCTGTTCTGTGCCAGCTCTGTAAACAACTTGAGAATGGGCGTGGTCACCATGGGGTCATGGTACCACAGCTCCACCGCCCTCTGCAGCACAGGTGTAAAAGATGGATAGCTATACATTCTTGTTAAGTCGTAAATAAACTAACTTGATTTATAGATCAAATTTGTAAATGTATCAACAAGTATATTTTTAAACAAAATGTATCAGTATACTGTAGAAAAACGTTTAAAAAATTCACGATTCACCATGTATCAAAAACAAAACTTGTAATTTTTTAAACGACACAAGGAGTTTTAGCTAGTCGATCAAAAAATGTTCAACTAAATTCTCAATAAAACCAATCTAGCAGTGTGTACGTAAAGGATACATCCAATCAAAAAGCATCATGTAGCTTGTTTTGTTACTGAAAGCAAATGTTATTCCCCTCAAGTCTCTAGCCAGGCCAATCAAAGATCTCTGTAAACCAATGAAACATAGAAGACAGTTACATTATGTACAATGTTCTACTCAAAGTCTGAAATAAAAATAATTTTTACCCTGCACAAAAACTGAAATATTTTAAATATCTTCAAGCTATAAATACCTTTGCTTCTTCCATATTTATTGAGATGTTGACATTAGCAAGAAGACCTCCAACAGTTTCAAAATGAGCTGTTAGGGAAAAATATTTTTCTTATAAAGAGATTAAAAATTTAAAATGTAGTCTACAATTTGAATGAGCTAGATATCTTTGTTTTAAATAAAAGACAAATTATTTGAATATGAACCAACCCTAGAAAATGATTCTCAAACTGTTTATAGTAAAGACCCTAGTTGAAATGCGCTCAAACCTGTACTTGCATGTCAGAGGTATGATGTACTTACACGTGAAGGGTATGATGTACTTACATGTGAGGGTATGATGTACTTACATGTCAGGAGTATGATGTACTTACATGTGAGGATGATGTACGTACATGTGAGGGGTATGATGTACTTACATGTGAGGATGATGTACGTACATGTGAGTATATTATGTACTTACATGTCAAGGGTATGATGTACTTACATGTCAAGGGTATGATGTACTTACATGTGAGGGGTATGATGTACTTACATGTGAGGATGATGTACGTACATGTGAGTATATTATGTACTTACATGTCAAGGGTATGATGTACTTACATGTCAAGGGTATGATGTACTTACATGTCAGGGGTATGATGTACTTACATGTGAGGATATTATGTACTTACATGTGAGGGGTATCATGAAGTGGTAAAACCTCTCCTCATCCTCCCCCAGGTCCACCAGCAACAACCTTCCTAAAGCTGTGTAAAAGGTCGTCCTACATCTCATGTCACCTGCTGCACCCGATCCCGCGTTGATCCCCAGGAAAGGGAAATGTTCGCTCTGTAAAAATAGTCAGTTCATGAATATTCATTATAACATGATTGTGTAATTACAGTGTACAAATAGTGAATGTAAAGTTTAATTACCGTGTGATTGTTTAGCAAGAACTGTACAGCATCCAACTTGACGAGTTTCCTGACACTGCTGTACCCAACAGACAGGTCACTGAGCAGCTGAAGAGTTTTGGAGATGATCTGCTCACTCATACCCCAGTACTTCAAGTTGGTGATTCTGTCAGCGCAACAAACATTTTTTTTATTCATCATTAGATGTAGCTTATCATGAATGCATTGTTTAAACTGATTGTTATTAAAGGTTTAAAAAAAATGTTAGCTGTAAAATTAGAGTAAAGAATGAGCTTACATTTTGCCAATGAAAACACTGAGCACCATCGACTCGTCACTTAAGCCCAACACCTCAGACAGCCTCCTGTACACCTACAACATCAATTTCAACATTCACATTATACAAAAAAGTAATGCTATAAGACATACTTTATTTTTAATGTAATGACAGACTAAGATAAAAGGTCATATTTTACATCAACAAATAGTCACTAAATATGCCACAATGACTGAAGTGTTAACAATGGTTAAAATAACAACATAGCACTCACTTTAGAAGTTTTTTGAACTTGGTCTCCAACATAAATTTTTCTAAACTGTTCAAAAAAACTAAGAATGGCCAGATCAAGTTTCTCACAGCCACCCTGGGACAGGCGTGAATCTGTTAAATTCATTAACTGCAAAACCCTGAAAATAGGAACATCTGACACTAAATACCATGCCATGCATTACACACCACTTGGAATTACTTCCAATAAAATATTCAAGGAAAACAAAAATACCAGAAAAAAGAAAAATGTTAGAAAGCATCAAAATTATTCCCACTGAGCTAAGATATAGTTAAATAAACAAAAAAAAGTTCACCTGCACACAAGTTCCCCATCCATTGCATCATGTTCATCTGTACTAGCAAAGGAAACTCTGCCTCCAATGACAGAACCAATTATGTACACCAACCATGTAAGTCTGCCTGAATCACCATAGCAACAATGTTAAAACCAAGGAACAGACTTCTTAAAAATATTTATTAACTAAAACATTAGCATTTAAAGATAAATGCTCAGATTTAAGCCCAGCTGAGTGCACTTTGCAATAGTGAGCTTTTAATAAATTTAAAGTGGCGTGTATATGACTAGCCAAGTACCTTCTTCAATAGCCAGCTCTACTGTTGGCCCACCAGAAAGCCTCTCCTGGTATCTTTGAGCAGATTCATCAAAAAGTTGGACCAAGAGAGAACAAGTTTTTTCATATTCACATCGGCCTATTGTTGACAGCTGAAATTATTATTTGGTAGAAAAAAATTAACAAGGGAGAAGAAAGGCAGTTTTAAAGAGGGAAAATGAATTTTATTTTCTTAATGGTTGATATTTAAAAAAAAAAAGATTAAAAGTTTGACCAACCTGTTCCAACTGCTGTGCTATCATCCCATGGTCATCTAATGGATCTTCTAATTGATCCCTAGGAAAGAAAAACAAAAGCTACTAATGCAGGTGAAGTTAAACATGAATGACAACAATGTAAACTGTACAAAGTTTTACTGATTAATAATAGGTAAAGCTTTGTGTTATTGGTGAAAAAAAAGAAAGCTTATAATTTAACATTAATCACTAAAAAAAAAAAAAAGATGTTTATACCTGACAATCACATGTACTGATTCTAATCTAGATGTTATATACGACTTGGTGACCTCAGGGGTGTATGTTTCAAGCATATGGGGCTCTGTGGCTTTGACATATGGTACAGACGCCACCATACGCTGCCACAGACTAAGTAGATAATGAACACTGTTTGGTGCAAACTGCCACATCTACAACAAACAAAATGATCAGCACAATTAACTGATTTATTATTTTTATTAATTATATTTCGTATAATATTTAAAAAATTATTTAAAAGTATTGTTCAATGGAAAACAATGGATTGAAATCATTGTAACACACAAAATTAAATAAATAGCCCCCCTATTATTACTGAAAACTATGTAATACAATAAGATTTAGAAAACTCATTGAATGACAAAGTGGTTAATTCTACTTAGACAAGGTGTTAAAACTGAGCAGAAAAAATAGCCAGTGTAGCCTTTGTATTTACAGTATTCAGAACATACCCGTAGACTAGTAATGGAAAACTCATCAATAAGTTTGATGACATACCCGTAGACTAGTAATGGTAAACTCAGCAATAAGTTTGATGACATACCCGTAGACTAGTAATGGTAAACTCAGCAATAAGTTTGATGACCTCTGGGTAGTTGTCAACTTTGACCAACTCCCCTAACTGGTAGTTGGACTTTAACCGTGCCAGCAGGCGACAAAACTCGTGGTAGTTGTTAGGGTCAGCCAGGCTCTAAAAAACATGCCACATCAAATTTTTTCACTTAAGTGTTTCTCATCTTAACCATTCAATGAAAACAAAGACTGGGAGAAGCTGAATTTTACACTGTACAGTGCAAAACTAGTAGGTATGGGCTAACTAACAGCTAATAACTTTACTTACTTTTCAAATGAAGCACTAATTAAATATGAACGTTTCAATTACAAATCAATCTATAAATAAAAAACAAAAAAAAAGGAGGAAACTTATATTTACCTGAGGATTATCCAATATACTACGCACTCCCATTACCAGGTGATTTATAAATTTGGCCCTTTCTGTGTTATTGAATAAAGAGCGCCTCACAGAAGCTATTTGCACCAAACACGACAAAGCCTAAAAACAAACAGTAAATAAAGGTCAAAAACTGTAATATTGATCAAACTCAATGAAATAAAATAAGTTAGAGTGGTTTTAAAAACCAGTACCAAGTGAAGAACAACTCACCAAGGGAGACAATGAAGATGGCAACCCACTATACAGGTCAAAGAAAAGCTCCAAGGTACCCACATCCAGAAACGCTAAAAAGAGAAAAACAAAACCTCTATCAATTTGAAAACACGAAAGTCTTATGTCAAACCTATTGAAAAAAAAAACAACAATATTAACCTGATCTCCAGCTGGTTGGTATCTGTACAGTGCAAAGGTCATCGGAGGACTCGTCAGTGGATGTGCCAATAAAATCAAATGTCAAACAATTGTGTGCAAGCCTCAAAGAGTGAGATAACAGGCTATGCTAAAGAAGGAGGAAATGGAATAATCACTATGACACATAGAAACTTTACAATTTTTTTTCCCTAAATTATGTTAAAAATTTAAAATAAAAACAGTGCTTGTGTTAAATATGCTGAAAATGCAGGTACTAAACTCTTAGTTTAATTATTAATTAAATAATTATATAGAATTATGTTTTCTGTTAAACGTACTTGATTGTTATCACTGAAGTCTAGAGACTTCATATTCCCAGCAGCAGATCGTAACAAAGAACAAGACAACTGAAAAATCTCAAACAACTGTGTGTCACGGAATGATGAAGCTATTTTCCTGTGTTTGGTTAACGAACGGCTTGCCTCAGACTGTAAAGTAAATTAATTTTAAATAAATACATCTACTTTTTAAAAAAAATCAATAAACCATATAGAGATAAATCTCTTGTAGCTTACCTCACTGACTTGATTCATCTCACAAACTAATTGAGACAAGAGTTGTACACCAATCATAACATGATGAGTAGATCCACTCTGTAATGTATCAAAAACAAAACAGAATGATTTTGTATTTAACCACAAGCCTAATCAGTGAGAAAACAAATTTTAGGGTATTATATCTAAAAAGCTGCAATGAAAAAAAAAAGCAGTAAAAATTTAAAGTAATGATACCTGAATAAATTTTCCAACATCTGCTACAACATTGCGGAAAACAAATTCTTCCTTGTTGACATCAAACCAACCATATTTTGTAATCCTTGCAAACAGCTAACACAAAATAAATTTAAAATTGTAATAAGAAAAACATGCTTTTGATAAAAACACATTTTAACTCATATTCTTCAACAACTACATAAAAACGAAATAAAAAACTATACTTAAATGTTACAAGTACCTGAACAAGTGATTGTGAGACAAAGTGGGTCAATTTTGTTCTGGTGGCAAGGTAGTTCAAAACATAGTTACCTGTAAAAGAAAATTAAAACATTTATTTAATAAAAATTTACCCTACAAGTCATTCTTCTTTCAGAAGCCTAAAAATAAAACTTACGGATATCTACTCGTTGTTCCAGGGGCAGAGTCACATTTGGCCTGTACACCATCTTTGTCAAAGTTGTGGCAGCCAATAGTTGAGCATATGCAGACTAAAAAAGTTATGTGTATGTTAATATCTATCATTTTAATTTATTGAAACATGAAAAAGGTATTAAATTCTTTAAAAAAAAAAAAACAGGCTAGCAATAACAAAGTACCTAGCAAAAAACTCTTTGGTAAATTGTTTCTTCTAAACCACATCTAAGCAACAGGCACACGAGTAACTTACACTTCCCCTCTCCAGAAGCAGTTGGCATTTGTTAAGGCAGTCAGGAGAGTTAGCAAAAGATACCAGAGCCTTCTCTGCCTCAGCACGAATATTCCCATCTGCCGTCTCATAAAGCTGTTTACACAGATTCTCAAGTTGAAGTAACTCCTGAAACAAAGGAAATTTTGATGTTTAAAATAATTTATGATAAAAAAAAATTTTAACAACTGGGAATGTCTAATTTACATAACTAGCTAACAATATTAAAATGTTAAAAGACTATTAATTGATTATTAGTAAAAAATTCAATTTATTACTATTGAATGTATTTTTATAACTAGAACAGTGTGAACTTCACTTTAAAATAATGTTGGTATGGTTAATCTGATTTGGTTGCCAACAATTTTGGTCTGTTTAGCCAAAAAAATTTATTTAACTTGGTTAGCCTACTTAAAATATAGATTTGTCTATTAACATATTCAGGGTAATTTTCAGATTGATCTTTTATCATATGAATGTTGCTAATGCTATTATAGGCTCCTTGAAAACGGAGAAATAGGTAAGCAGGTTATGTAACTAAAAAAAAAGATCCTGTGGAGTCTTACAAGAAAAAAAGGAAAACAGCTTATCTGACTAAAATTTTCATTGTGAATTATTTTATGAACACAAATTTTAAATTCCTGGGCATGAAGGATGGGCACGGGTTACTAACAAATACTTTTAAAATCAAAGAGACAGACGACACTAGTATATATAAATTCCATCTCGTTTGGGGGGGGGGGCTCTGCCAATCATGCTACATCGCGCCTTAAAACTAACCCACCTTGTCCCACCAGGATTTTTTCTAGTATGCCCATCTGATGAAATGTTTAGCCCAATTAATTCAGTGATTATGCTAACTATAAATACAAAATAGTCTAAGCGTTAGGCCAATAATTCATAATATGTTGAGAGTTGAGAAAAAACTTGATAATAATAATGTCTAAATTACTTTGTAGGCTATTAGGCTAAATCATTTACTAGCCTAAAAATGCAGCCAAATAGGCCAAGCTAGACTATCAAATTTAAAATTAGGCTCTAGGCCTATAGTATAGATTCTGGCTCTAGCTAGATCTAGATCTAGTTTCATTTAGAATAAAAACTGAAAAGCACCACCATTAAGATCTAAAATCCAGAAATTAGATCTGGATCTATCTATGTCAACCGTTGACTCTGCAGTCTACACAGTACTACAGACGCATGCGAGATTTTTCGGTGCCCTGTTTTAAGTGTTTTTTACTTGTCTTCACAATAAATTTTTGACTGTCTGTCATGCGGTTTGGAAAAGCGCTTCATAAATATTGCTTTAGCAGCAATAAATATTTAAGGTACACATTACCATAAAATCAGTTTATAGGGGTAGTAAAATATTTTTAAAATTTAGTAAGTAATTTAGGAAATAATGCTTTATGGGGTTTATTTGTTTTCAAACTCTTATCACCTGTTCGTCCGCCATTTCTGTTTTCTCCTATTCCAATTTACCGCGAGATGGCGCGAGTACGCGGTTGAAGATTTATTTAAAGCTTTCTTTCTATTGGTTATTCTATGAATAAATAGGAAACTCCCTACACTTAGAATGATGTCAGGAAATCTCCTGACCCTGTGAGATGCTAACCGGTGCTGATCCAATTTATCAACCCAAATAAAATAAGTTGAGTTTCGGCATACTTAAATAAATTTAAAAAATTATAGGCCCATTTGTAGGCCTATAAACTCTGTAGTCTTATTCTATTAGTTTTATTTCTAACCGCTAGCTGCAATCGTAGGAATGGCATCCATAGTTTTTTTTAAATATGTAGATATTAGATATGACCTAATTCTCTGCAACCCAATTTAATTGTCTTTATTATGACACTAATTTGTCTATTAATATCAACCAACCATTTCAGCGGGGTTTATGAATAGATAGGCACACTGTTGATTTTATCCTATCTAGTTACCCTAATAGTTTTTCCCCCATGGTTTCAGTTGCTTGGATTAGATCTACAATCTACAGTCTGATGTGAACCTACTGTACTCATTGTTCTTAAAAGCTGGAGCAGTTGTGGAAACTGCAAATACCGGTAGGCTCGGTCGTCTTAGGTAATGTGTAAAGTCTGTGAGTAAATTGCTAAATCTGGGCTAGAACTCAAGATAATTTTATTTTAATATAGAGAAGTCTACTTTTTTCTTAGGCCTAACTAAACTTAATAACTTATAAATTAAATAAACCACTAGACTAGGCCTACTCTTCTACTAGATTCTAGGATCTAGAATCTAGATTCCACTTGATTTAGAATCTAGTAATTTTATAATTCTAATAATACTAATTTACTATAAATAATCGGGGCTAATCTACTATCTAGATCTAGTATCTATTGAATCTATTCTAATCTATCATTCTATAATCTATGGCCTAATGTAATTATTACAGTAATAATGTATTAATTTAGACTTTTTATAGTTCATAGTCATAGCATAGACTCAGTCTATACCATAATAGGAATCTATAGGCTAGTCTATAAGTAGGCCTATATTTTTTATTATAAATAGTTAATAGGCCTAGATCTTGTAGTATTATAATATTTTAATATATGCTTATTTATAGACAGCTTATAGACATCATAGTCATGATAGTGAAGTGACATCAGTGTTTCTTCCAGACTTTTTTCTCCGGGGGGGGCACTTGAAATCTTCGGGGGGGCGGTAAACTTTCTTCGGGGGGGCGGACACTGTTAAAAGTATATATTTTCTATATAAATTATATACATTTCATTTCGTTCGGGTGGGCGGTAAAAAATTTTCGGGGGGGCTTCGCCCCCCCGAAGAGATGCCTGGAAGAAACTCTGAGTGACATATAGACCTTCTAGATCTACCAATGTGAATGTCTGATCAATACATCAATAATCATAATTGAATGTTCTTAAAAATTTAAAAAGTGTGTTAGATTACTGACTGGTAGTTGAATAAAACATGATTTATAATGACTAAGTCTAATGACGTACTTAATAAACTATACTAGATCTAGATACTTAACTATTACTATTGTTGTCAACTACATCAGGCAACACGGTCACCAACTCTATCCCAAACCCTAACTCAAGGAAGTCCTACCTTGACCCTAATTTCTGACTATAACAATATACTTAAAACTCTTATTTATAACTATAAGAGCACCACTAAACTACAAAGAACCTAATACATCTTTTATGATGAGTCAATTGTCAGACATCAGTAATACCAATACTCTGAGTGGTAAGACTTGGGTTATGACCAGAGTTTCTTCCCGGCAACTGTTCGCCCCCCCCCCCTCCCCCAAACGAGATGGAATTTATATATAAAACATACTTTTACCAGTGTTCGCCCCCCAGAAAATGTTGTCCGCTTCCCCCCCCCCCCCCGAAAATGTCAAGTGCCCCCCCCCCCCAGCCCACCAAGAAAAAAGTCTGGAAGAAACACTGGTTATGTCTGACTGGTCTCTTCTTAAAAAAAACTGTCTATTTGCAAGTGTCACACGGTACAATAAAATTAATAAGTTCCCTTTCAAGACCTAACAATTCATAGGGCAGATGAAGTAGTAGTGTTGATTTCTTTTCTTGACCTTGACATTTATAGGGATGGTGTGGTCAACAACCTTTACTTTTCATATTGTGAGTCAGGTGTCCACCAGAGCTGATGGACTAGGGGATGTCCATCAGATTCAAATTTGAATCTCAATACTTCTGGTTGGCATTCGAGTGCTTTAACACCCGAACATGCTGTCTCATAAAATAATGATAGGCACTAAGTACTAAGAAAGTAGAGTTTTGATCCAGGGCTTGAATCCATGAGATGTCCCTGAGTCGACTCAGCTCTGATGGGTGCCTGACTCACAATAGGGAAAGTAGAGTAACAATGGCTGGGCAAAGTGTTGGCTACACTATCCCTTCATTTGCCGTGGTCACTGATACAGGCAAACTGTACAGTACAGTGTACTTCACCTGCACTACGGACCATAGGGTTGGAAAGGGCACTTTACTTTTTTACGTACTAAGATAGGCCCAAGAGAAAGTAGGCTATAGTATGATTACTTAAGTTGGCACACTGTAAGTATTCATGAGTTAAAAGTTAGCCTTGAGTTGAGACAATGGCTGTAAAACTAATCACTGTGTAAATAGGCCTGTTAAAATGGCTGTGTATGTATTCAAACACTGACCTACCACACACATTCTACTTTTTAAATTTTTAGTTAGGCCTTTATATAAATTCTATGTTTCCAAGGGTATTGTGTCATATCATCTTAGAATCAAAAATTGATTTTTAAGTTCCATAAAATACATTTCTTTCTCTGTTAGCTACTTTAAAATTTTTTATCGATTGTTAGAAACCAAAGTTTTGACTTTCTACTTTTAAAACTTAAGCCTTAAGTTTTCACCTTGAATATATCATCTTTGTACATAAGTAGTGTCCACTGCCTTCAGTGCTGATGGTTAAGGTCATTGTCTGATAGCAATTATGTGTTATCTCATTCAGATTATGGAAAAAAAATGAAATGTTATGCACTTTGTATGGGGTAGATACTCCAAGAGGTAGGCTTATAGATTATTAGAGTATCAGTATGTCTGCTTTATAGTAGAAAGTGCTTAAAGCATTCATAAAAGAATGTATTATAAGCCTATAATTAATTATGAATATTCATGAGTATGACAATATTTTTCACCAGCATGTAAAAACCTTGTCACATTAATTTATTTACTTAATCCGCATAGCTCCATGGAGAGCATAAGGCAGCAACACAACCCACTCTACTGGGTGTGTAACCTGAATTCTTGACCTGTGGTCAGCACCCCTTCTTCCACCTCTCTCCTCCATGTTCCCCTCATTCCAGGTAGAGTACCATAGAGTCCATCTCAGAGCTATGTTCAGCAGCCCATTTTTTTTCTAGACCCAAGCAAATCACCCACATAGTTAAAATGTCCTATTGACTGTGGGGGTGATTAGCTATTCAGTTTGTTTTATTGAACCATATCAAGTACAGCTTGCATTGTTGCTTTTGAAATATGTAGTGAAAATTGTTACTTTAGAAATAGGTAGTGAGTACTGTTACTTTAGAAATAGGTAGTGAGTACTGTTACTTTTGAAATAGGTAGTAAGTATTGTTACTTAAGAAATTGCTAGTTAGTATTGGTACTTTTGGAATAGGTAGTGAGTATTGATAGAGTAAAAAGTGTACAAGTTAGAGCTTGTTTTTTAATGATTATTTTGAGGTGTCTGCTATTGTGTTGTTAAATATTAGATTTGTAAGAAACGTTAATTTTTAAATACATCTCAACAGGTAGCTGAATAAATTATCTAAGAACAATGGCAGCAAGTGATAGTCAGCTGGTGAAGTACCCAAAGCTTGTTGACTTTGAGAACAGCTACCATAACCCTGAAGAGAAAGCGCCAGTGGTGACCAGACTAAAAGGTGCCGTCAGGAAACGGATATCCAGGTTTAATGTCAAGCATTGCGTGTTCAGTTACCTCCCAATTCTTGAGACCATTAGAAAATACAAAGTGAAAGAATACCTGCCCAATGACATCATCGCAGGCACGACAGCTGGTGTCATGATGATCCCGCAGGGGATGGCCTTTGCTGCGCTGTCCACCTTGCCTACGATAGTTGGCCTGTATATTTCCTTCTTTGCTTCAATCACTTACGTCATCTTTGGTACCGGCAGGCAGTTGTCGTGGGGATGTATCGCAATTCTGAGTCTTATGGTAGCCAATATACTGGACAAGTATGAGAAAAGTGTCAACGGAGACCAGGTGACCTGCAGCAATGGAACTGGGATGCCCTTAGTTTACAATGATACTGACCCTGTTGCTACCAATGGCTCTGCTCCAGGTGAAGAACAAGACACATTGACAGAAGCAAAAATTGTAGTAGCAAGCAGTGTGTCTGTTATTGTGGGCTTTCTGCTGATTGTCACATCCCAGCTGGGCTTGAGCCGCATCACAAACCTCATGTCCAACTCTCTCATCACCGGCTTCACTGTGGGGATATCTTTCCACGTCGCTACTAGCCAGCTTCAAACTATGCTGGGGGTGTCAGTGCCAAGGTCAACTGGTTTAGCTTCTATAGTTCAAACCTGGGTCAAAGTCTTGATTAAAATACCACACACCAATGTGGCAACATTGATCACATCAGTTATATGTATAGTTTTGCTGTATCTAATAAAGACTTGTATCAATGATAGGTTTAAAAAACAAATGAGGGTGCCTTTTCCAGGGGAGCTGTTTGTTGTTATAGTAGCAACTCTCATCTCTAAGTATGCCTTTCTGCATGACGAGTTTAAGGTTTCTGTTGTTGGAAGAGTTCCAGTTGGGCTCCCTGGTATCAAGTTTCCAGAATTTGTCCTAGTCAAAGACTACATCGCAGATGGTATTGTTATCATAGTCATAGCTTATGCTCAGACGTTAGCCATGGCCAAGACAATGGGGTTAAAGCATAACTATGTTGTAGACTCCAACCAGGAAATGTTGGCCTGTGGTATATGTTCTGTTGTATGTGGACTGTTTTCTGGTTACGTCAGTGCTGCCTCGGTTTCCCGCTCAGTTGTACAAGATGGCGCTGGGGGTCGTACACAAATCGCTTCATTGTTTGCTGCTGGGATTGTGTTGCTGGTCATCATGCTGATTGGCCCTTACTTCTATTTCCTGCCTAAGTGTGTTCTGGCAGCTATTATTGTCGTCAATCTCAGATCCATGTTTCTAAAATTACTGGATATACCGAAAGAGTGGCGCAAGTCAAAATATGATTGCGCAGTATGGGTGTTTGCTTGTGTCGCCACTATTATATTCAATGCAGATTATGGTTTACTTGCTGGAGTGACCTTTTCCTTACTTCTTATAGTGCTGAGAACTATGCTAACCCCAGTGGTGGAAGCAGGACAGATCCAGACAAGCCCCCTCACTGTTGAACTTAGATCTCTTGACAATTACTCTTCAGTGAAGAAGATTAAAAATGTTGTAATAATAAAAATAAAAACCCCTTTATACTTTGTAAATGCAGATATCTTTACTAGCAAAGTATTTAGCAAGAGTGGTATCAACCCAGCTGAGGTCAAGAAACAGTTGAAAGAGAAGTTAAAAAATGGTGTTGTGGCTTCAGAACAGGGGGAGAGCAAGTCTTTAGAAGTAGCCAATGGGAAGCTGCTGACTGAGGACAGCCTTACACCAGAGGTCAAGGTTGTGTTGTTAGATGCAGCTGAGGTGGCCTTCATAGATTTGATGGGGGTCCAAGCTCTGGAGTTTGTCATCAATGAACTGACAACTGTTGGCGTGGAAGTGCTTATTTCCTCCGTGCCTGAGAATATTTTACCTATGTTGAAGTCTACGGGATTCTGGGAGAAACACGGAGAGCGCCTTTTCTTGTCTGTGGAGTCAGCTCTGGCATCTGTTGTCCTGGCAGTCTCAAGTGTAGAAGAGATGAAAGTAGAGGAGAACTTTGACTGCTGATACAAGTTGTTAGACAGCAGTGCTCCATACTTTGGCCCACTTTGACTCAAACTTTGAGACAAGATATCTGATTACGACCAAATCCAGACACTATAAAAACTTAAGTGTGAATGTACTTTTTATTTCCTAAGTATTTATAAGCACACCATGCACATAAATAGGTTATCATTGGAATAACCTTTCACCTTATAGTGTGACGAGATGCATGATGTTAAACCTGTTGACACCACAGGGTCTAGGGGTTACAATATTATGTTTTCAGGTTATTTGAACTTAAGACAGTATACATTATCAGTTTATACGAGTTGTATAGTTAAATGAATCAGCATTTTTAGTTTGTAAATTATGTTGTTTTTATTGCATTCAGTGATAATTTGCAATTTAGCTGGGATTAAATTGTGAAAGATTAATTTTGAAATTTAAATTAATCTATCTCGTAAAATGTAATGAATGATTATACTCTTGCGGATAGTAACTTTTTAGATTTAGTGACTGCTAACTTATTTTCTTTTAGTATTTAATGATAATGTCATGTTTGCACAGAGATAATGCGTCGTTTAAATTGTTTCTTGGTAGATGATACCCTCAGCAAAGATAGAAACATTTATATACAAACCTGTCATGTTTGTTTCCTATGTAAAATATCATATACATGACATACTTTACAGTATAAAGTTACATACAGGATACGGGTCTTATGAGAAATTTTACAGTTTTACAGTTCTGTTTGGTGTTTATAGATTAATTGGGAGTATTTATTAAGTTTTAATTATACTTGTCAAGGGCACTAATATTGTAAATTTTTTGAATAATACACTTACCCTTTAGGTCTCAACATTTAAAAAAATATTTCCCATTCTTTTTGGATTGAATGCAGTTATGACTTGTATATCATATACAACACTGAGACAATATTTAATTTGATTAGTGATGATTATATTTTTTAAAAAGATTCTGTTAATGTAGTAATGGTTGTTTAATTATTGTTAATTGTATTCTGTAATAATAATAATTTGATTTTTGTAGTGATTATTTTATATTTTATTGACAATAATCTACATACAACATTTTCCCATTTTATTTTCTGTTTATTAATTGAAAATGGTGAACAGTTTGTTTACATTGAACATTGGTGCTGAAATTTGTTTACTTTGTCCAATGTTGCCTGAAGTTGGTTTATATTGTTTAATGGTGCAAGAGTTTGTTAAGACTGTACATATGACAACATATCCCATCCAAAATTGTATACATGTATCTGTTTAGCTTTATGTCTATATCAAAAAAGGTATACAATGGCATCTGTTTAGTTTTATATGTCTATAACAGGGGTCTCCAAACTTTTCAGTCCGAGGGCCGCATTGACTATCAAATTTCAGTTCGGGGGCCAGTTTCTTCCGGGCATGTCTTTGATTTTTCTGGGCAAAGTTCCTCAGCCATCACCTACAAACGTTTTTTCCGTGGACAAAAAGATCTCCGCGGGCCGTAGTTTGGAGACCCCTGGTCTATAACATGAGATTATTAGGTGACATACAATGTTGTCAATTGTGGTCATTCCTAGAAACTGCTAAAAATGTTGGTCTTAAAATTTACAAAAACTGTGCTCATAAAATTCTAACTTAAATTTTACTTAAGTTAGTCTAAGCCAAAATGATTGATTATCACATTATATGTGGTGACTGTACCACATTGATTATTACATAATTTGTGCTGACTGTGTAGTACTGTGTACCACATACATAATCAGCCTACATCTGTTATCTATGTTAGGTTGCTGTGACATTATCTTAAGCCTTATATATTTTAACAGATTTAATACAATAACACTTTTTAAAAAAAACTTTTATTCATGGTAATGAGTGCAAGAAGTTAATTAACATAATTACTGTGTTGTTTTATCATGCAATAATCAGTGCCAATTTGTTTTATCAATGAATGTCCAGACTTATCACATGACAAAAACATCTTTCATCATTTGAAGGTACTGGACAATATATTTGAATGCTGCTTTAATGTCTCAAGTATATGATTATTTATTTGCTTGAATGAGATTCATTTCATGTAGCACTTGTGTAAGTCATGTAATAAAAAACATTTTTGTTATGTATATGTTATCCTAAAGGCATTGTTATATTACAGAATTTGGCCGTTTATGTTTTATTATTTATAAGAATCGAGATTAAACTTAGTTTATAAAATGTACAATAGTTTTGAATGGATAAGCATTCAGACAATGGAATATTATATTTATTAAAAAAATTAATTTTAACAAGATCTTTGTTGTTGGTTTGTGTTAGTAATCTAAAATCATACCTGCTGTATAGGTAGATGACACAATGTTGTGTTTATAATTATAATTGAGACCTGCTTTATAGATTTTTGGCACAGTCTTGTGGGTTTGTGTTGGTTATCTAAAATCATACCTGCTGTAGAGACCAGTATGACAGTTTGAAACCCTGTATAGTGGCTATTCATACCTACAGGGGGCATTCAGTTGTAGCGAAATACTGTTTGAATTAGTTGAGAAAAAAATGCTCCTGTATATGTATATATATATATATATATATATATATATATATATATATATATATATATATATATATATATATATATATATATATATAAATATATACACGCATATACATATATATATACACGCATATACACACATATATATATACACGCATATATATATATACACACACATACACACCTAAATACACCATAGGTAGCAATGGTAACAAAACGATGGATATAGGCTGTTATGCAGTTTTTTTATGTGAAATATCAAAAAGTCCAGTCTAGGTTGATAACCTCCCCTGAAAAAATCACTGTGTCTTTAGGCTTCCCGTTGACTTTAATTTGTTGTTGTGTTAGCTAAATGTCATAAAACTGGTGCACACAGTCACTGATGTTGCACCTATAGACCATGTGTGAGGGCCATGATTCACAGTGGCCTGTTACATCAACATCCGACCTACATGGGCCATGATGACAGTGGCCTACAACATCTGACCTACATCGGCCATGATGACAGTGGCCTACAACATCTGACCTACATGGGCCATGATGACAGTGGCCTACAACATCTGACCTACATGGGCCATGATGACAGTGGCCTACAACATCTGACCTACATGGGCCATGATGACAGTGGCCTACAACATCTGACCTACATTGGCCATGATGAAAGTGGCCTACAACATCTGACCTACATGGGCCATGATGACAGTGGCCTACAACATCCGACCTACATGGGCCATGATGACAGTGGCCTACAACATCTGACCTACATGGGCCATGATGACAGTGGCCTACAACATCTGACCTACATGGGCCATGATGACAGTGGCCTACAACATCTGACCTACATGGGCCATGATGACAGTGGCCTACAACATCTGACCTACATGGGCCATGATGACAGTAGCCTGTTACATCAACATCTGACGTACATGGGCCATGATGAAAGTGGCCTACAACATCTGACCTACATGGGCCATGATGAAAGTGGCCTACAACATCTGACCAACATGGGCCATGATGACAGTGGCCTACAACATCTGACCTACATGGGCCATGATGACAGTGGCCTACAACATCTGACCAACATGGGCCATGATGACAGTGGCCTACAACATCTGACCTACATGGGCCATGATGACAGTGGCCTACAACATCTGTCCTACATGGGCCATGATGACAGTGGCCTACAACATCTGACCTACATAGGCCATGATGACAGTGGCCTACAACATCTGACCTACATGGGCCATGATGAAAGTGGCCTACAACATCTGACCTACATGGGCCATGATGACAGTGGCCTACAACATCTGACCTACATGGGCCATGATGACAGTGGCCTACAACATCTGACCTACATGGGCCATGATGACAGTGGCCTACAACATCTGACCTACATGGGCCATGATGTCAGTGGCCTACAACATCTGACCAACATGGGCCATGATGACAGTGGCCTGTTACATCAACATCTGACCTACATAGGCCATGATGAAAGTGGCCTACAACATCTGACCTACATGGGCCATGATGACAGTGGCCTACAACATCTGACCTACATGGGCCATGATGACAGTGGCCTTCAACATCTGACCTACATGGGCCATGATGACAGTGGCCTACAACATCTGACCTACATGGGCCATGATGACAGTGGCCTACAACATCTGACCTACATGGGCCATGATGACAGTGGCCTACAACATCTGACCTACATGGGCCATGATGACAGTGGCCTACAACATCTGACCTACATGGGCCATGATGACAGTGGCCTACATCTGACCTACATGAGCCATGATGACAGTGGCCTACAACATCTGACCAACATGGGCCATGATGACAGTGGCCTACAACATCCGACCTACATGGGCCATGATGACATTGACAGTGGCCTACAACATCTGACCTACATGGGCCATGATGACAGTGGCCTACAACATCTGACCTACATGGGCCATGATGACAGTGGCCTACAACATCTGACCTACATGGGCCATGATGACAGTGGCCTACAACATCTGACGTACATGGGCCATGATGACAGTGGCCTACAACATCTGACCTACATGGGCCATGATGACAGTGGCCTACAACATCTGACCTACATGGGCCATGATGACAGTGGCCTGTTATATCAACATCTGACCTACATGGGCCATGATGACAGTGGCCTACAACATCTGACCTACATGGGCCATGATGACAGTGGCCTACAACATCTGACCTACATGGGCCATGATGACAGTGGCCTACATCTGACCTACATAGGCCACCATGACAGTGGCCTGCGACACCACCGTCTGACCCCGTGTAAAGCCCATGATCAAATGAATGCCACCGCCCTTTTTACGTCCACACCAAACCACGTGTCATCTTCCCGCCGTTTCGTGTCGTCATATCGTGACACATTCATTGCTTCTGTTTCACCGAGGTCATTAGTATTTTTTTTTTAATGAGCCGGTTTTTAATTTTAGCAGATAATTTTTTAAGCACATCTCATGTTATAAATAATTTAATACTTTTAATGCCAATGATAATTAACGCCTAATTGATTGCTAATTTATTCTAGTTAACCCGGAGTGCCACAATATAAGCGTACTTCAGTAACATATGTTGCTGAATTTTAAAAAATCAACGTGAAAGTAAAATTGTTTGAAGTACCTTGTTGGTTAATGGCGTGTGGTGAAACGGAATTAATCCATTCGCGTGGGTTTTTCACATTTTTAGTTACAGTCTACCAAAGTGATAGTTTTCGTGTCGGCGTCCCTTCTCAATCTCTTCTCAATCCCTTCTCAATGATTAGCTGTGCCATCAGAGTGGCATGTCCAGTATTTTAATTTAGGCCAATCCAAGTGATGAACATTTTGATGCTGGTCTATGGGCTAATGAATCCCGTTAAGAAAGGACCTTGTCAAATGGACTCATGCCATATAAGGCTCCCGGCTATGAGGCTCCCGTCGATACGACTGAGGATAAGATGACCCCCGTAATAATGGCTTAGCAATTAAACGGCTCTAGTTAATACGGTCCCCCATTCATTAGCGTAACATCATAGGCTACTTAGCTCCATCGTAGAGCTCACATCTATTTGATCGCCAAACTGCAGTTCACTCTCATTCTATCGGGAAAATTAGAGCCATAATTTCGAGAGACCAAACACTGATTTATTCTAACCGTGGCTTTATATAAATTATAGGCCTACATTTTTTAGATGCTTGAATTAAATCGACCACTTGCAGATGCGACACAAACATGATATTTGGTAAGGATAAATCTCTGTAAGGTAGTCAACTGGAAAAATACCAGATTTTCAGTTTGTAATAGGGCTTAAAAATTGACGCACTTGATTGCTGTTTTACCTATTAAAGGGACGAAACTGCAGCAAGAATTTAACCTTAATCTAGGGCTTTGCAAAGTTTTTTTTTAACATTACTATATTAAGCAGATAAAAAGAGGTTATTTGGCAGTAAGCATTAATTAGAAAACTCAAAGAAAGAGGAAAACAAACAGTCTCGATCTAAGCTATTCGACAGTTAAATAGATTGCAATAATTGATCTTCGAAAAACTTGTGAATAGTTGCTTAATAAAATTAAAAAAAACAGTTATGTGTTCCTCTAGATTTATTACTGTTTCAAAATATTTTGCGCGGATCTCTGAATCCCATTTAATTACACATTTGCATTTTTAGGTTTTAAAAAAGATTGTAATTAATACCTATGTAACATCCATGATAAATGATCTAAGGACAAATGGTCTCAGACAAAATATCTCAGACAAAATATCTCGGCAAATGACATCACAACGAAATATATCAGGACAAATGATCTCAAGTAAAAATGATCACCCGGAAAGATTTTTTTCTTACACATAATAATTGTGAGAAAAGGTTTGTCGCATAGGTTTGTCACATTACACTAAACAAAAATTGCAATTAGAAATATAATATTCGAAGATTAAAACTAAGTTTCGATAGACAGTTTAGGTGGGCCTGCCGAACATGAGACACTCCCACCCACATCAGTTGGACGAAACTAGATTAAAGGGTTAGCTCATCTACTGTGGAGACATACCCTAAGGGAGAAGATGTCCGCTCTCCGTGGCCTATACAGCTATCATTTAAAGTCAATAGTGATATTTCTGTCACACTCCGGTGATCACGTGACAAATACTAATGTAAAAGACAGTGGTCACTGCGGAGCAAAGTTAATCTTAGTGTACATGCATACCAACAGTATTACTGGCGATTACTGAGCTAATGCCTTTTTCGTTACATCATAGAAAGGCATTGGCACTTTTAAGATGTCAGATTTACGCTAGACAACAGCCAGCGAAGAAATGCTAACGTTACATTTGTGTTGATGATGCACTAAACATATAATTTTTACATTAAATCCTGAAGATTCAATCACCTTTTTGAACATTGCTTCACTTGTTTTGAACATTAATGTGACAAGGCTTCCACCATTTTATTTGTTCTATGCATTTCATATAAAATGCTATTTAAATAACGTAGTTTAGCTCATTCATTTAGTATATTTCACAGTTATTTTGTGTAAAAGAAAATCCACCAGACCGAAAAAATGTTAAAATTGACTAAAAATCTTCCTAAATACAAATAAATATTTTGCTGTGAGATATTTTATTTGAGATATTTTGTCTGAGATCATTTGTCCGTGAGATTATTTGTCCGTGAAATAATTTGT